TGTTAGGCAGTAGCTAAGGAGTTCAGATCGGTAGTTACTGTGTTGCTAGGCAGTTTCTAGGGAGCTCTAATCATTTGTTAGTGTGTTGCTAGGCAGTTGCTAAAGAGTTCTGATCGGTTGTTAGTGTGCTGCTAGGCAGTTTCTAAGGAGATCTCAATGGTTGTTAGTGTGTTGGTATGCACTTGCTGAAGGTGTTTGGTTGATAGGCAGTTGCTATGGAGTTTTGATTGGTTGTTAGCGTGTTGCTAGGTAGATGCTGAAGGTGCTTGGTTGTTTTGGAGTTTCTAAGGAGTTCTGATCGGTTGTTAGTGTGTTGCTAGGCAGTTTCTAAGGATGATTTAGCAACTGCCTAGCAACACACTAAGAACCATTCAGAACTCTTTAGCAACAAAGACCACAAATAACGACGACTAAACTTTCCCAGCATGCACCTGTCTCTCCGCGTGCAGTGGGTATGTGGACATCAGGAATCACCAATCGTGTCTCGTTAAAATGCAATTACACACAATGCAAAGTCCAAGCCACATCTTTGAGAAACTGAATCACATGTTGATTCTGAAACATTGTAAACAAAAAACTCACAAACTTCTCAAAGCCTCTCGTGCTTCCCAGACCTTCAAACGAGCCATGTTTGTTTGGGATTCTTTGCAGCGATGCCATGTCAAGATCGTAATGTTCTGCTGGCAAATACACGCTCACAAATATACATGTTTATAATGCTAAAACAACACAAATCTCTGGTCTGAATTAAAGCATAATTAAATAGAACAGTCTAATTTTACTTGGGAAATAATCATTTTTAACTATTCGCAAATAATATTTTAAAACATGCACACATTCACTCTTATTTGTAGGCCTAATTTGAACTGAACACGCAAAACGTTTATAGTGTCTCATGTCAATCAGTTAGGAACTACAATTCAAATTGGCCATATTTGAGAAAAAAAAAAAAAGTCTAGTAGTTTGTATCACTGGATATTACAGTTGTTAGTTTAACATTTCTATCGTAAAACAGTTGTCAAATATTAAATGTTTGGCTGCTTACCTCTCTCTCTTTCAACGTTAAAACTAATGCTTCGCACTGGAATTCCCGCTCAAACTCTGTGAACAGTAAACTCCGCCTACTTTGATTTGATTGGCCAACATTTTGAGATTGACGAGCGCTCAGAACCAAAGCCACTAGAAGCCAAAAACTTCTACTGAACACTGTTATGAGGACAGTCCTTCATCTCCGCCTCTAGATTCTGGTTCCCTTGAAGCGTTTGAAAAAAGCGTAACGGCTAATGCTAATGCTTCCGGTTTGCCAGTACGTGGGAAAGGAGACCAGAGGCCGTTTTTTTTAATGGATGTCAATGGAGGAGAGGCTTCAGTACACTGAATAAACAGCTTTTTAGAGGAAACGACATATCATTTAATGATTCGACAGCCTATCAGCTAATCTTCAACATGTTTTACACTAAACAATACTTTTGGATTGTTTACACCGAAAACCATTTTATAAGAGAAGTCACTGACTTTTTGCGACAGGTGGGATTCAGCTTACATCACTTCTCATTCATTCCTATGGTATCCATAAACGGCGATTGAGTGTCGCACAACTCCGACTGAAATTCAATGACGTCAAGGCTATAATGTGATTGGTTATTAAGGCACACATGATCCAAGTTAGCCGTTACGCTTTCTCCAATAGTAAGACCATTGCTGCGTCCCAATTCGCCTACTTATACTATGCCCTAAAAGTATGTACTCTTTTTGTGAAGAAAAAGTACATACTTCTGAGTATGTAGAAGACTAGTAGGCAAGCTTCGGGACATACTACTTCGTCATAGCTGCTTCTTTAACGGATGCTCTGTTGCTTAGTTACGTGCATTCTGTCACTGTTTAAACTGCCCTGTCAATCATCTCATCACAGTTAACATCATCCACATTTCGTTTAATTTGATTTCCTACCGTATTGGAGAGAAATGAAGAGGTACGTGCCAGTCGCGGGGTCTATCATGCCGAGAACTCTGCTCATGTGTTTGCATAATGATGCATTTAAAAGTTAATGACCAAACGTATCATTATAAAAGTTCACAGTGTTTCTGCAGATGAAATATAACGCGGATAACATTAGGCTAAATGTATATTTTTCATCAGGTTAGACATTGATTATTTATCACTCAAATCTGTTCATCTACCTGTCAGATATGTTTGTAGTTTTTTAAAACACTTTTAATGCGTGTTTGTAGTTCTACTTGAATCCTCGTCCACCGCGCAATGTGTTGTTGGCAATTTTAGCATGTGCATCGATCTCCACTTCGAATTTTAGCCGGAAGTAGTAGACCATCCGGGAATCTTTGGCATACTTTTTAAAACATACTATGATTTGGGACATACTAATTCTATTTTCGAATACTATTTAGGACGGATAGTATGCGAATTGGGACTCAGCAAATCTCTGCTCAGAACACTGAGGAAGACTACACCTTTTTGTAATCCTAACAATTTGGCCATTTTTAATTATTGGGGGAGACTTATCGCCGTCATTGTCTATGGTGGTTATGGCCCTGGTAAGCCTATTTAACGGCGGGTTCCTCTCTCGCTGGCTCGGGAAAAACACTCACAGTAACACAAGGTCAGAATGTACTTATCGCAGCAGCACTGTTGTGCTGTACTTCCTGTTTGCGGTGATCGTTTCAGCGTAAAACAGCTTAATCTCACCCGTGAAGGGCAGAACACGCAGTGTTTTAAAAATACACATCCGGTGAAAAACACACATTGTGCTGGAGTCTAGAGATAGAGAACACTTGAACTCTACCAACTCGTGTACACTAAACACATTACAGTCATCATGAAGACAAACTAAATGTTCCAGGTCTTATTTTCAAGGGGAAATATTCTGTAAGGGAAAAAAATTTAAATAAAAATCATCATGCTCCACCTCAGGGGCCGATTTAGTGATTTGGGGGCCCCAGGCAAAATATAGGAATCGGGCCCTATATATTTGCACACATTTACCTAGATCAACCTTGAGGTTCCTTTTTTGTTGTGATGCTTGCTGCAGCAAAATGGTGCCCCATAGTTGTGTCCAATGTTTCTACATTTTTCATGTACATGTTATAATGGCTTTCTTTCATGTTGTAGACCACGAAATAGCAACTGATTTACA